GATTAAAATAATAAATTGTTAGTTATGGTTACTGTAAATTTCAATATTTTTCCATGACCTCTATTTAAATTTTTAATGATTGATACTATTATTTTATGCCACTGCATGTTATGTATACTGATTGCAATACTATACACTACTATTCAGTAGTTTAAGGTCAGGATTTAGTTTTTTGTATTTTGTTTTTTTTTATTTATTTATTTGATTTTTTATTTTGTTGGAAAGAAAATCATACTCAGCAAGGAGACCAAAAGTGACTGTAACGACTTTTATAATGTTACAAAAACTATTTTAAATAATTGCTGCTCTTTTGAAATTTCTATCAAAAATCCTGGAGGGGAAAAAAAAACTACAGACCACAAACGTTTGAATGGTAGTGCATGTATAACATACCAATTAAAAAATGAGAACTAAAATTAAGTTCAAAACAAACCACAAAATGCAGAATTATCTACAATATCTCTTATATAATTTATTAAACCATACATTGTATCAAATTGAAATACAAAATATTAATGTAAAAAAATTAATTTCAAATACACTAAAATAACTAAATGATTTTTTTTTTTTTTAAATACTAAAACTTTTTTTTCAGGTTAAAATTTAATTCTGAACGCAGATTTTCAATGTGTAAGAGGCAAATGAGCCAGTCAGCCTGCTTGAATCTACTTGCATGAGTGCAGTTCCTTATTTAAAATATTGTTTTGCTAACAGCATTATTTAGGGACTGAATAATGCAGAGAGTTACAGAAAGGCTATTTTAAGAGAAAGACACTGATGAATTGAGCTGAAAGAACAGCGAGAGTCTCACTTTGATGCATCAAGTTTCTGCTGCTCCAGGATGCGTTGCTGGGCCTCCCAGTTGGCTTTTTCCTCCTCAAACTGGCGCCTCTTCTCCTCAAGCTCTTTATACTGAGCTTCTAGATTCTTCTTCATCTGTTCGTGACGCCGCTCCAACTGCATCAAAGATGCCCAAGGATTTTTGTGATATTAGCCATGACAAACATAGAGTGCAATGGGAAAAAATGCGGAACTAGAAACCAAACACAAGCGTCCTCACATACACACCTCTGCCTCAGAGTCCTTCAGTTTTTGCTTCTTTTCTTTGACCTTCATCTCAAAGACCTGCTCCATCTCTGTCTCCATCTTCTTCATCTTCATCACATGCTCCCTCCTCTCCTCCTCCATCTGGGCCAGGGGACTCCTACAAGAGAGACATTATCACAACAATTGTAACAGAGGTGGAGAAATGTAGCATTACGTAACTTGTTCACCATTAGATCCTCTGCAGTGAATGGGTGCCGTCAGAAT